TGTTGGCTTAAGGATCAGCGCTGGTGGGTTTAGAATCAGCGCTGGTGGGTTTAGGATCAGCGGTGGTGGCTTAAGGGTCAGCGGTGGTGGCTTAAGGGTCAGCGCTGGTGGCTTTAGGATCAGCGCTGGTGGGGTTAGGATCAGCAGCCAGCGTTCTCACAAGACAGCGCTTCCTGCCATTCACAAAGGAGGTGCATGAGCAGCGCGACCCTCCTCAGTCTCCAGCCCTCAGGCACTCTGCTTGCTCCCGTCCAGGTGCTCCCCAGGAACCTCGCGCCTCTGCGGGGCCTCGCAGGGATTCCGGCCGCCCTCCACAGACCCCTGAGCTTGGACGCACCCAGCTCGGCGGACTCCAGCCTCGTGGCCAAAGGAGGGACACAGGTAAGGCTCCGTCTGCTCTGGGACCGTGCCATACAAAAGTCACATCCGTGGTGGTGCTGAGAAGCTTAAATGACAGGATTTGTGATCTCTCGTCAGCTTAGAAAGGCTTTTGTCTCTTAAAAAACCACTTCCCTACTCTATCTCTTACTCTTACTCTGTCTCTTATTAATCAGTAATATTTTCACTCAACTTTGAGACTAAAAGTTGAAAAGAACAATTTTCTGGATGAATGTAAGGTTTACAGTCACATTGAATGATTATTTATAGAATGTGACCTTTGGGTCAACAAAACAAAGTCTCAAGTGGTACCAAACTGACCTTTGAAAGGAAAACAAAACAGTGTATGTGCAGAACATCTTATGCCTCCACACCTTCAACGAAGGTTTTCTTCTTGCCGAGTCAAGTCTTGTCCGTGGAGATTTCAAATCCTTTGCTTTATTATGGTCTCGGGTGATGGGTGTTTTGAGGCACGGGCAGGTTTTGCAGATGGAGGACAGGAGCCCCTTTGGCGCGAGGGAGAGTGCGGCCTCGTAAAGAACGTGTCGTCTCCCGGCGGGACGTGGCTCTGGCAGAGCAGGGGTAGCAGCGTCATCCCGAGCACCTTCTCAGAATTCAGCAGCTCCCCTGCTGCTGGCCAGCGTCTCGGTGGGTTTGTGTCTCCCCCTCCTCCCCGGCTCTCCTCTCACCTCCCTTTCTTTCTGACTTCACAGCCTGCGGAGACCTGTAAGCCCACCAGCCAGACCAAGAAGTTGCTGAGCTTGGTCTGTGAAGAGCAGAGTTCCTTGGATATGGCGACCCTGGATAGAGGGAGGAACAAAGAGGACGAAAGCGGGAATGAGGTAGTTTATGTGCCTTGTTTCTTAACATGTGTCACAAACCGTAGCGCAGGCAGCCTCCAGCAGTGAAAAACTGCTGCTCCCCTGCTAATAGCTGGTTGACCATGGTCATTCCATTTGACTCCAGACCTTAATTTGTGCTGCATTTCCTCTGTGTTTGGTCAGCAAAAAGCATCTAATCCTGTTTTCTTGTTGTTCTTCCTATAAAGCAACATCTGACGTGATGTATTTTCAAAAGGCTGTAGGCTGTTGCCTTGGGGCACGGCGATGGCTCTGCCTTAGTTCAGTGTCTAGGGCCCCCCAGTCCCTCCTGGGGGATTGCAGAGCTCAGGGCTCAGTGTGGGCCATCTCCTCTTTTAATACCTTTAGAGTCTCCATGGGAGAGCGCTTCTGTTCAAAAACCTGTACATGGATGTCAGCGCCCTGGGAGGCAGCTTCAACTCTGAGGTAAGAGAGCGGGTGATGAGACAGGCGGGAGAGACCCCCCCGGGGGCAGAGGAGCTGCGGCACTGCCAGCGCCGGGGCTGGGGAGCAAGAGCGCACGACTGGCGCCAGAGGGACGAGTTCATGTGGCAGCCTAAAACCTGTCTTCTCACACTGCTGAGAAACTCCGTGGCTGGGACGCAGAGCACCAGCAATGAGTTGAGTACCCTCGTGGCCTCGTGCAGACGTTTTTCTTCCCGGGGCGCGCGCTCTGCCTGCGCTTGCTCAGCAGCGATCAGGCGTCGGATGACAAGGGCACAATGGGAAGCGTGTTGCAAGCAGCTCTGGTGGTTCGGCCCAACTGTTCACACTGACATTAATCCTTTCTCAGCGCTTTGAAAATTCCTTTCCAGTATCTGATAGGCAAATTAATTAATTTCTTTAAAAGTACTTTACGTTATTTCCCTTATCCTTTTCACAGCCTACAAAAATTAAGCTCTAAAGTACTTTGCTGGAGAATCCGTTCACAGTGCTGGGCACAAATTGCAAAGGCTTATGCTAAAGTGGATGTGAAAAAGGAAGGCCTGACTCTCATCTCCAGATGACAAGGAGGCTGTCAGGGCCCAATTCGTCACTGAAATGTTAATGTGGCCAGGAACAAAGAGCTGTCTTGGCATTTCAGTGCTGCGCCAGGGACTCAGGAAACTGTTTGAGATGGCAATTGCCGCCCAACAGCCAGTCTCTGTTAACCCAGATGGGTGATATCTTAGTCTTGCTAAGATATTAGTGCCCCAGTGGAAAGTATAATTCTTTTGTAGTTCCATGAGATGGCAGTCGAAAAGCATTCCTATGTGCAAGGCTCAGCCCGCAGCCCCAGCCATTCGCCAGCTTAATTTCAAAAGGGAGAGGAGGAAAGGGCTCGTAGGGCGAGCCCTCCAGGGGGGAAATCTAGGCAATAATGGGGTGATGGGATGAAAAAGCTGTCTTCCTGTAGCCTGTGGGTCAGGGCTGACCACCTGCATTCAAAGAAATAAGCAATGGTTTTCGTAACTTGCTGGGGCAGAAGGATGTGGGGGACTGGAGGTTGCATCCAAGATGGCACAAACCTCCAGGAGGGAGAGAGGAGAGATGGAAAGAAATGCTGCACCCTCAGTGGGCTCCTCCGGAGCAAGGACTGAATTAACTGGGGGAAAAGCACCTGCAAGCAACCCCAGGTCAGATGCTGGAGAACTTGAGGCGTGAGGTGTGTGTAGAAGGCAGAACGTACTCTGGGAGAGGGGCTGTGTGGTTTGCTTGGCCACTTGGGGGGTTAGCCCTTGCCCAAGCCAGCCATCCCGCTTTCTGAATTCCATGGTGGAATAGCCACTGCAGATGAGGGAGACTTTGCCCTGAAATACAAAAGGCTGTGGGGAGGGCTGAGAGGAGGGAGAGGTCTGGAAGCGTCTGTGGGTGCCTGGGGAGGGGGTGGCAGGGCAGCAGAGGTGACCCCCGACGCAGCGCTTGGGAGATTCAGAGCTGTGCCTTCTGTATGGGTCAGGCTCGGGTTAAACGCTGGGTGTCGTGGGGTCCTTGGTGCGGTGGGAAATTACCATGCAAGGCTGCTTCACCCGATGGAGAGGTGTGAAAGGGAGCTGCCTCCGTAAATAAACATTGCGCAACAGAGCTTGGGTGTCCCTGTGGAGATGCACGGGCGGGAAGCAGCGCTGCTGCTTCTCAGGGAACGGGCACCCGTAAAATTCCGGTGCAGGGAGGGATGGCTAGTGAGAGCGGAGGAATGGCTGCTGTGTTTGTGGCCTTGCTCTCGCCCGTGCTGGGGGAGCGTGGCAGAGAGCTGTGGCGGTGAGCCGTGGCTCGCGGGGAGTCCTGAGCTGGGAAGGGTCTGCCCCAACAGCCGGATCCTTGGGCTGGGCAGCAGGATGAGCACAGCCGTGGAGCACGCGGAGCAAAAACAGAGCGGTGGCTGGGCGGATGCTCGATGGGAGCCCCTGAGTGGGGGTCAGAAAGCTGCTCGGCTGCAGAGCTTTCCGCCCCAGGGCGCGGGCACGGGCGACACGCGGGGCGGTGACATGCGGGGCAGTAAGCAGCTGCGGGCAGGTGGCCCTGCCAGCTGGGGAAGGTGGTGTGGGGACTCTGGCTAGCGGGTGTGTCACCTCCTCCCTAGGAGAACAGCAGAGCAGAGGAGGAAGAGTGTTGTGGCCGCTTAGCTGCTAGACCTGATGCCCAGCACCCGAGGAGGCCTGCAGAGGAAGCCGGCAGCCTGAGAGAGGTGACAAGTGACTCTGACATCCCCTCCTGCTTGCACAATGTCACTGAGGCTCCACGTGCAGCAGGCAGCCTCCGTGCTGTGCTTCTGAGTTGCTTGGGCTGTTTCTTTTGCTGGTGAAAGTAGCGCATGCGCCCGGAGGGGTGTAAACGTGGAAACTGAGGTCACATGCTGCCCAGGGGAGGTCAGGCAAACCTCCACCCTCTCGTTGCTTCCGTGCCCAAGAACTGCCTGAAATCAGGGAGCGAGGGGAACATGTCACTTTTAAAGGCATTCTGTACCCAGGAGGAGGTTTTCTTCCTCTTTTCTTTTCTTCCTTTTAAAGGTTGAAAGCATGTCAAGTTTTTTGTTGTAATCTCTCCCGTTCTTAAAATCCAAAGAGGTGCTGTAGTCATCCTGCTTCCTGGGATGAGCAGGGTTCGGTTTTGGTGGCAGCTGCTCATCCTGATCGTTGAGCTCTGGATCAGACACTTCTCCAAAACCCAGCCCTGTTGGCATCAATGTGCTTTTCTCCAGACCGACACTGGTCACTGGAAGTCTGGAAGCAACGATTCCAAAGGCAGAAATCTCACATTAGTCAGTGTCACTCAGCTGCAGGTAGAATGTGTCATAGCTTGTGAAAAGATCAGCTAAAGCCAGTTATAACCTGTCCTACTCCAAAATCCGTAGAAAATCCACAGGCTGTTTTTGCACGAGGAAAACTTGCCTCCTCTTCCCCCTGTGTGTCCGATGGGCACGGTTCCCCCTTCTGCAGAGTCGCACTTGGCATCACTCAGGTGGAATGTTAACAAAAGTGTTCTCTGTATCTGTTCTTAAAGTAGGATTCTATTGGCTAAAGAAACAATTCTGGGATATTTTAGTAACCGAGGTAAATTGTTTGCTTTCACCTGCAGGACCAGGAGCTGAGAGAAAAGGAAAAAGACCAAAGCAAAGCCAGTGTACAGGAAGAGCAAAGCAAAAGAACAAAAGCTGTGGAGAGGTATGGTAGAAACAGAGCAATGAAGGAGGCGAGGGCAGCTCTAGCTCCTGATGACTCTCCTGTCTTGTCCAGCCCTGCTCTGCTCTGGTCGCTGTAACCTGTGCAGGTGTCCCCTGCAGAACCCCCCGAGATGCTGCAGCTTCCCACAGGGTCTTTCCCGCTAAACCTCTCACTTCTCCTGCCACCTCCTTAGCACTGTCTCAGCAGATTTCAGCTTCGTTTCAGCTTCTGGCTGGGTAGGCAGCAAAACTCCTGTCCTTCATTTCCTTGCAAGTGCCCCAGCTGTGGAGCTGCTTCTGTTTCCCTTACAGCTCTCTGACTTTTCTCCGAGGCTGTGGAAGTCGTGCCCTCGCCAAGATGCCCTGAACCTGTTAATATTGTGTGTTGCGCCCTGTGGCGTTTAACCATGGGAGGTTTAGCCACTGGCCGTTGCCCAACAACAGAGCTTTCTGGCTCTGAGCCAGCCTCAGTCTCAGTGACCACCGGTCCTACTGGGCTGCCAGCTCCTTGCCGGGCAGAGCCTGGAGCTGGAGGCTCCCGGGACCAGCCTGGTGCCTGCTGCTGGGGGCAGAGGGTACAGCCGCAGGCCGAACAGTTCTCTGCCACTTCCTTCCGTAGAGGGCCCAGAGCAGGTCGCTGGCTGAGCAGGTACAAGCCTTAGGCTGGCTGATACCCTGCTGGGTGGACACGGCGCTCTGGAGCGCCCCAGCTGTTACCCCAGAGCAATGCTGGTTTCCAGACCCTTAGTTTCTGTGAGGACTCGACTCTCTAGGGGAGCTATTTTCAGCCTGCGTGTGGCGATTTGTTTAAAGCAGTTGAAACGCTGTGCTGAGCAGTGAGCTCCCTGCTCTCCAGAGCCCCTCCCCTGCGAGAGGTGCCGTGTGTGGCATTTATAGATGAATCGTGTCAAAACTCAGCCTCCTCACAGAGTTACATGTACTCTGGGGCGCTGGGAGCCAAGAAGCTGTTGCCTGTGCCAGGAAAACTTGTGAACAGAAGAAGCTGCAGTCCATCTTAATGACTGGCTGCGTGCCCTTGGGATTTGCAGCCTTGCTCATAGAGGAGCTGTTCCTGTGAAGGTCCCCGAAAACGCGTTCTGCCCGCAGGAATTGTCTCCTTATCGCTTGGTACCTGCTTCCCAGCTGTGCATCCTCTCTTCCTCTCTGCCTGTAAAAGTAGCTCGTGCTTGCCTCATCTCTCTACTCTGCACTTCCAACACAAAGTAGGACTGTAGATGTGAACATGCCTGCCAGTATTTCCCTCTGTAATTTGGACAGCGGTGTGAGTGTTGCTAACAGGGCTGCTGAATCTGGGGGAAGGTCTCTAAGGACCTGGAAGGAGAGTGGGATATTCCAGGGAAGGGATTCAGCCCTTCAAGTCTGGTGCCCCTTGAATCCTCGTCTGCCTGTTGGTCTGGTAGGGCCTGAGGGCGTGGGAGGGCTCTGGAGCTTTGCTGTGCCCTCGGCAGCCCGGTGCTGGGCAGACGGGTGCCGCTGGCAAGTATGGCTCAGTGTTCCCCGGAGCAGACGCACAGCCCAGCCCGTCTTCTCTCCGTCTTGCTATCTCAGACTCCGATGCATGCTAATCTAGTCTTTTTTATCTCTTTTCTGCTGCAAAGCGAGAGTGATCAAGATGTTTATGAAATACCAGAAGAGAAGTGTTTCACTTTAGAAATGCTCAGTCTGGAGGAGGCCATCGCCTCGGAGCCGGAGGAGGGATCGCTGGATAGCGTGATCGATCTGGAGGAGCTTGCTGCCCCGCAGAAAGTGTAAGGGCTTCTTCTCAGTCCCCGGTGCTGTAAGAGTAACAGCTTTTGTCCTTTTGTTCCCCTTTGTGGCGTGTGGAGTTGGTGTGTGAAGTCGGTGCCCCGGGAGATGCGGTTTGGTGGGCAAGGTGCAGCTCGAACATCTCCGTGTGCAAACGCAAGCAGCTGTTCCGCAGGCGCGTGCCAAGCCAAGCGTCTGTGCTGGGAGGGTGAGAACAGCAGCTCTGCCCTTGGGGTCTGTGGCACAGGACTCCGTGGGATGCAGAAAGGGCCGTTTGCTTTCTACTTGGAAAAGCCTCCTCCTCGCCGCTGTGGTGGATGAGGCTGCCGGCGCTCGCCCTCCCTCAGGGAACGCTTTCGCGCGGATCTTGAGCTCCTCCGCTGCGTGGGGCTGCGACTGGGGGCGACGGCGCAAACCCCACAAACTGCCCCACTTCTGCAGTCGCTGCGGGCATCAGCTGCTTTGAAATAATAGGGTCAGAGCGCAGGATGGTAGAGCTCAGGTTCCCTGTGAAAGCCGGTGGGCTGTTGCTGTGTTAAATTGATGCTCTTTGCAGTTACATACCCACAGTTCCACTGCGATAGAAGAGCTCAGTAGAGGTGATTGTGCTGACTTTGCTCTCCATGTCAAATGACAGATCAGCAGATGCAATTGGAGAAAATAGACAGCGCGTCTCTCAGGACAAAGTGGTGGAGAAGCATTCTTTGATGTGGAGACCATCACAGATCTCTCTTTTGAGGAGCTGTGTTGTGTAAATGTGTGTGTGTCGGCTGGGTCTCTTTTTATGTAAGAACTGGGGCAAAAGAAGGGACCTGATAAAAGGGTGGAAGTGGCTGAATTGCCTTGCAGGGCAGGCTGATAAACGCCACCTTCCGCAGGCATCACTGCAGTTGGCCCAGAGCATGTAGCGTTACAGGGCAGTGCTAGCAAAGCAGGATTTTTCCAGAACCCAGCTATTCTTTCCTCTGTCTCACTCTTTTTGCTAATGGCTGCCTAAGTGACCTTTTTTCTTTTGACTCGAGGCTGAATTACTGGGGCTGTTACTTCCCTAATTCCCGGCAGAACAGCAGTCCCTCCGCCTAACGCTAGCCAGCTCAGAGCACGATGAGACCTCGCTGCTCCAGCTACGACTAGCCAAAAATAAAATTTTTTTTCCTAGACTAATCTTCATTTTCCCCTCCTTCCCCCCCAGCTTCTCTCAGACCTTATAAATTTCCTGCTCTCTGTCGGAAAAAACTTTATTAGGAACAGATTGGAATTGAGGTTTTGGAGCGCTTAGGGCTTTCTGTTTGTTACCTAGAGCTGGCAAACTCCCAGCACACTTTAGATGGCAACTGCAGACAAATACCTGGTCCGTCAGCAGCGCGCTGCCGACCCTTGGGCTGAGAACAGGTACCGACTGCATCTGCTTCTGTGCCCGGCGGCTCTAGCCAGGGTTTCGTAGCTGCTAGATCCTTCACCAGGGGAGAGCGTGTTGCCCTTGAGGGCTAATCTAGCGAGCCAAATCAAGGGGTGTTCGGGGCCTGAGAGCTGTGTTCAATAATTGATATAATTTATTGTTTGGGGCCATGTTGCTGTTCATTTCATGTTACTCAGTTTCTGTCACCCTTTGGCCAAAGATGCTCTCCCTTTCTGGTAGGCAACCTGAGATTGAAAACAAACACGAGGGGTCCTTCAGCCAGTCTAGTCAAGAATACTTGGACGGAATCACCAAGGAGATGGAGGTGGAGCTCAAGCAGGAGAAAATGCATTTCTTGCAAGCAAAGAAGGAGAAAATTCAGCAATTCCAGGAGGAGATGAAGCAGCAGCAGGAGGAGGAGGAAGCCAAAAAGCTTCATCAGCAAAAAGAACAATCCCTCAGGTACTTTCCTTTTTCCCTCCGTCTCCCTCGTGTTTCTCCTCTGAGCCCTTCCTAGCTGCGATCTCGTTGCCGGTGGCCAAGGGCTCGTGCTGTTACAGCCCACCCACCACCTTGGGAGTGGTGCTGTTGTGTGGCGCTGTGGGCTTTTGGGGAGGAGGACACGGGGCTCCCTGCCTGGCACAGAGAGCGCTGCGCGTGTCGGAAGTAGCAGCGGTGTGCTGGCAGAGCTGCGAGGAGGGACGCCGCATGCTGGGGAAAGCGCTCTGTGGTGCCGACGAGAGCAGCTGCCCACCTCCCCGGGATGAGCAAGATTTGCTGCACCTGCAGCTTTCAGAGCTCCAAACCTGCCTCTGATGGTTAACCTGGGAAAAGCTTCCAGTTCAGCACTGGGAGCTTTACTGCCTGGCAGACGGTCAAATCCGGGGCTCAATGGTAGTAACAGGACTGGAAATTGGAGCAGGAGAGGAGATGAGGTTACCCCGGAGGAAGTAGCTGGAACTCGGGTACTGCACGTTTTACAGAGGGACTTCCAGCCAAGACTTTGAGGACTAGGGCATGGATGTTTGTGTGAAACCCAGCCAGTGTGTGAAGGTGGAATAGCAGTCCAGGGAGCAGAACAGCACCAGGGCCTGTGTGCTCTGCCTGGGGGTGGTTTTCTCTCCAGACATGTATTTTATTTCAGAGGCCTTGATACTTAAGTTCTGAGCATGCTGAGCCAGCCACAAACGGTATCTTGACATGAAATGTTCTGGGAATGCTGTCTTGGGTGCACAGGCAGACACAGAAATCACACCTCAGGGAAAAATGCCTATGTGGTAATAAAGCAGTAGTGAAAAGGGTGTCACAGGGAAATATGGTGCTTACAGATGCACTAACGTGTCCCGGTACCTTGGCTGGGAGCCTGCTTTCATTTAACAGGAGCTGATTTCATTTACCTGGGGGGCGGGGGAAAAGCCCAAGTGCCATCCATGATTATATAGTGCACTTTAAAAGTGTGTGCAGAGTGTGATGCTCAGGGGCTGCCTCTCCCACCCCAGCAGCCAGGTTCAGAGGTGAGGAGGAGAATTAATGGTCCGGCACCCTGAGTGCAGCCAGTGGAACAGCCTACAGGCCTTGGACCTGAACCTGTTTTGTTTTGGTTTGTTTTGTTTTTCTGGCTGCTCATCTCTCAGGACTCTAAGAGAAGATTTGGCAAAGGCTGCTGAGGAGGAAGAGTTGCGTGTCCGGAAGGAAGAAACCGAGAGGCTCTCAAAGCTGCGAGCCAAAATCACCTCGGAGACCGAGGCTGAGATGGAGAAGATCAGGTGACAAGCTTTGCTGCCGCCCCTGGGGACGTAAGCTGTGGTGGGCTGGGAGGGCAGCGCAGGTCCTGGCCCTTGAGCTGGCACGGGCAGTACCCTGCCGTGGCGCTGCAGTGCTGGCTGCTTTGCTCTTTATTTCCAAGGCCTAGGTTGAGCTCTTGCGAGTCTGGGTCTTTTTTTCTCAGTTTCTTCTGGCCTGCACGTCCTAGCCCTTAGCAGCGTCTGCTCTCGGCTCTGGTTCCTGAAGGGAGTCCGGTGGTAAAGTGCCGAGCTCTGACTTGCCTCCGGCTGTTCTTGTTGCAAACGCAGGGCAGAGCACAAGGTGACACTGCGGAAGCTCCGAGGGGAGTTGGAATCCCAGCAGGCGGTGGAGAAGGAGAGCCTGGAGAGGCAGCAGCGGCTGCTTCTGGAGAAAATGAAGCTGGAAATGAAGGAAGCTCAGCAGAAAGAGATGACTGAGCTGGAACAAGAGAAGGAACAATTCCTGAGTGAGCTCAAGGAGAGATTGGACAGAGAGAAGAAGAAGGTGAGCTCTTTATTGCCAGGTTGGGCCAGACCCACGCTGGTCGCGCTGACCTGGCTCACCTTGCGGTGCCCAAGTATCCGGATGAAGTAACACCTGCGTGTGCTTTGATGCCGCCTCCCTGAAATCCCAGAGGAAAGGTGCTAGGCGTGCCCTTAGAGGCGTGGCTGAGGTGGGGAGGAGTACCCCCTCAGTTCTTCTTACAACCATGATTAAATAGCAATTAAATAAATGGCCACACTGCCTCCGAGGAAAAGAGGAGGATCACTGTGTGTCTCTGCCAAGCTAAACCAAGCCGTTTCCTCACCTCAGAATAGCTCTTTGGCTGCTGCTTTTGTCCTCCAGAGAGCCTGGGGAGCTCCCGAGCGGAGGCAGCTCACGGTCCTTCCAGCACAGTGTGACTGAGATCCACTGAGATGCCCCGGGAGGGAAAGCACAGAGAGAGGAAAGGCATAATCCGGTTTGAAAGGGGTTTACCGTTGTGCTTTTTTGGTGCTTATGGAGAGACGTTGACTGCAAATGCATCTTGTACAGCGTGTCCCCACACATAGAGGTTTTCCAGCAGACTGTTTTGCTCATGTTCCTGTAGGCAGTAGAAGAGCTAGAGAAAGAGTTTGTGACTGAACTCCAGCAGCTGAAGTCTGCGGCAGAAGAGAAGCATCATAAGGTAAAAGATGGTGTCCTGAGAATGTAAATCGTTGATTTCCCACACTGTCACCAAAGGTGGCCGGGGAGAGTGGCGTTCCTTTTTCTTCCCGCTCCCTAAATGTGGTTCTGGTCTGGCTCAGCACTTGGATGTGCTCCAAGTAGGGGGTGGTGAGACTGCACACGCTGGTCTTTGCCACGCTGCTCGCTCCCCGTGGGAGGGCACCGGATGGATCTTGTCAGAAGGGTGACAAGTCTCTGGGTGGCTTTCACGGCAGGTCATTTCCAGCCTGCAAACCCAGCTAGCAGAGGCACAGCGCCGCGAGGAGGCACAGCTGCGCGAAGACTTGCAGAGAGCCGAGCAGAAAGCGCAGCAAAAGGCCCGTCAAGTCACGGAGTACGAACGCGAGGCAAGTGCTCCCCTCAGCTTGCTGCGGGTCCTGCACCCCCTCTCCCTGGGGCTGTGGTGAGGCCCTGAGACTGCAGCCCCTGCCCAGTGGTGGCAGCGGTGCCATGGGGGACAGGGCACCCCTGTGGCATCTGGCCCTGCCGGGGCGTTTGCCTTGGGCTGCCCCGGCCTGATCCTGCGCACGTGGTACCGCGACCGCCCGTCCTCCCACTCCCATGAGGGGCTGCGCTCCAGGGGCCCCGCACCGCGGGGCTGCAGGTCACAGAAACATCTTGTCACGTCATCCCCGCAGCTCAGCGAGCTAATGAGGGAGAAACGCCACGACGTGGAAAAAGACCATGAGAGGAGAATGGAGAGGATGAAGGAGGAGCACCAGGAGGCCCTGGCACGGATTCGGGATCAGTACGAGGAGGAGGTACTGTGCGGGGAGCAGCGGAGCCGGGAGGTGACTGCGGCGGCTCTGTGCGCCGCACCCGGGCTGGCACTGCTGCCTGCCAAGCTGCCTGTCCCAGCTGCTCCCAGAACTGGGAGTCTCCTTCCTTCTCGGGGAACTGGGCACTGTTGCCATGCTGTGAAGTGAGTTTAGCCTGGGGTTGTAGGGATAAGCTGTCAAAATACTCCCCGTGCAGGCAACTTCCACATGCATCTGTCAGCTTCAGTACGAGAGAAGAGTGTTCACATTTCTGCAGGTGTCCCTTCTGGAAAGCCTTCTGCCTCCCCTTTCTGGCAGCAGTGTGTGAAAAAACCTTAGTTTCATGGGCTGTTTTTTTCTTTCCCAAGCCTCTCCCATAACGATGTCTCTGCAAGCCAGAGGTTTGAATCTGCTGAGTTTGGAGCGTGCTCAGGAGCTGCTGCGGGATGGGCAGTGTGTCCTGTGTGCTCATGCTGGCTTGCTGGAGAACCCTGTGCTCCACTGAGACGCTTTTCTTGTTTGTGTTTTGCAACAATCAGGAGAGAAAGCAAAGAGCAGAGCTGCTGGAAGGCCTGCGACGCGAGGGGGCGCGTCTCCGGCAGCTTCACGAAGCAGAGGTGAAGGCTCTGCAGGTGGAGCTGGATGAGCAGCTCACTGCACTGCAGTGCAGGCACAGGGAGAAGGTGAGGAGAACGCTTTGCCTGGCGAATCCTCCTGACATGGCTGCCTGGGGACAGGCTGGGGACCATGACGCCCCAAGGCACCTGCCCACTTTTAGGGCCGGGGTGACAAGCGGCAGGTCACGCTCGCCCTGTTTTTGTTGTTCCTCCTGGTGGCTGAGCTCTGCCTGGTGACTTGAGCCGTTCTCTCTCTAACTCTGCCTCTCTGTGCAGGAAAGAAAACTCCAGGATTCGGAAAATGAGCTTGAAACGCGCTTCAAGAACATCAAAGACAGATCAGTGCAGCTCCTTAGCCAGGTGAGTCAGCCCTGTGGGGCTCACAGAGATGTGTTAGCTGGTGCTGCTCCTCTGGCTGCTTCCTCCTGGGCTCAGCCAGGACTTTGGGAAGGAAAACTTCTATCACAGGCCAGAGCAGGGCTCAGCGTTCCTGGCTATACAGCCTCCTGCATGGTGTTTGCCAGGAAAGTCAGTGCTTGGGGTTTGCTCAGGGTTTGCTCAGGGCTTTGAGAAATGGTAAGTGGCTCTAAGAGTGATGGAGGGATCATAAAAGCCTTTCAAGGTGGCAGGTTCTGCTCAGCATCACTTTGGATTTCACTCAGTCCCTCCCTGATTTCCCTCCTCCTTGCTGCTGTGGAAGGGGAACGTGTGCTGCTGGATCTTGGGCAGCACAGCGCGAGGGGGAAATGCTTCAAACGCTCCTGTGGAGCTGGCAAAAATCACTGGCTCTTGTTCTCGCCTGCCAGATCTCTTAAGTCCTAGCCTGTGCCAAGGGCTGTAGATAACCTTGCTTCTGGCATCCCGTCCTTTCCAAGCAGCACCGGAGTGAGGAAGTAAAAAGGTGGAGAAATGCTGGAGGCAACCAGAGGCTTGACAAAAGCAGGATCCTGCAGAAATGGCCATGTGCCGTGGGTGCTCTTGCAGCTGAGCAGGAAGGGGTGTTCTTCCCCCAGGAATGCAAATATTCCCAGCACCTCACTTGAAGCCAAATAAAGGGATGAGAACTTGAGTGTGTGGGGGGCAACAAAGCAGAACTGAGAACAATCCTTAGGTGTTTTGAAACAGTTTTGAGACTTAGGCCTGACCTGTGCCCTTCAAACGCTGCTCAGCATCAGCTGTCTCCTCGCTCTCCCACTCACCTGCTTTCTCATCTGGTTACAGGAGGAGTCTCTGAGGAAGAAAAGGCAGCAGCTGCTGGATGAGGACAGACAGGCTGAGCTAGAAAGAGATGTATGTATGCCTTAGCTCTGGAGAGGTGCTGTGCTGCTGCTGGGGGTGAGGGCAGTGCACTAGAATGAGGGCTTTAAAAAAGCAGACTGCTACTTCTGGAGTCCATCCTGCTGAGAGTTTGCTTGGCTCTGAGCTGTCTCTCAAAAGAAGAGACAGTCCTGTTCCTCCAGGACTGGAGTGCGTACCTACAACCCTGGGACCTCCTGTGAACTGTGCATGCCGGCAGTTCTCACATCGTGCGCCTTTTATTTTGGTGTTGGGGAGATTACTGGGAGGGATTTTTTGGTTTTCTTCTAAAAAGCTGCTTTGGTTCTCAGCTCCAGCTAGAGGAGAGCAGGAAGGAGCACACCAGCCTCCTTGAGTCCACCGGGCAGCTGCGTAGGTCTCTGGGGGAGCTGCAGGACCAGAAGGCTGAGCTGGAGGCCCAGGTGGATTTGCTACAGACCCGAAGCGAGAGGCTGCAGAAATGCATCAGGTGTGTGCATGAGAAACTTCCTCTAATACAGAAAGATCTGCCCTACGCCCCAACAGAAACCTCTCAGACCCAGCCTGGAGCCTTCCCGTAGTTCCAAGCTGCTTGTGTGCTGATCCACGTTCCTCCAGAATTCTAATGGTGATTTTACTGCCTGTCGAGGGCATGGAGGCCCCAGGGTCCTTCTCCAGACCTGTTAATAACTCGCTGTGTAAATTCATCCCTTGGCCTCTGCTTGTCAGGTTCAGTTATTTGTCTTCCCAAAGTCTGTCCTGCAAGGTTAATAAGAGAGGGCACTCTTGCCTTGAGAGGGGCACTGAAATGCAAAGAAAAGGTTTTGCTTGGATAGCTGAGCTGCCGGGTGAGGGGGTGAGGCTGTTCGCTGCCCAGCCAGGGGTCCTGCACAGAGCCAGTGCTGGTGGCTTGCGCATCTCCGGCCCTTTCCCCTCCCGGAGACTGGAGGCCGCTTTGGACACCGCTGCAGGCAGAGCAGCGGGGACCTGGGCCCGTGGTCTAACTGAGTGCTGCTGCTGTCGCCTCTTCTCGTGGCAGTGAGCTGGAGGCAGCTGTCAGGAGCAAACAGGAGACTCTGAAAGAACTGGAGGCAGAAGAAACCGTGGAATCTCTGAGAGGGAAAGCTGAGCTCCATGTGGAAGACCTGAGAGAAACTCTTCAAGCTGTGAGTAAAGGCGTTTGCCTCGTGAGAGCTGAGGCTGTAACTCCTCCAAAAACCCCAGCTTTTGTTCCTTCTGTGTGAACTCATTGCAGATGCAGCGCTGCATTTTCCTTTCCTGGGATACATCAATAAGTTTAGTAGTGGTTGTGGATTTCTGTCTATTGTTGCTGGGGGGAAAGGAGTGTGGGATACTTGAGTGCCCTTGGAGTCCAAAGCGGGGCTCGAGTCAGGGATAGAAACGTCTGTTACTCTTCAAAAGTCACATAACATCCCTGGCACTGGTTTTGGACTGGGGCAACACCATGGTGATGTCATTCCGAATTTTTACTTTTAGATGGATTCTTACAGGGTTCTGGAGTTCTGTTTCCCATACATACTTCTTAGTTTTTGAAATGTTTCATCTCCTCAGCACTCATCCAGAGAACCTGCTTACGCACCCTCCCAAAGCCATGAGAACAGCGACCTGCAGTTTGATCAGTGAGTATCTGTGCCCCCGCTGCCTCTGCAGAATGGTTTTGCTTCGGTTTTATGAGCCGGGGGTTTGGGGATTTACGCATGCGATGTGTTTGGGGGAGTGGGGGGTGGGGGGTGCTGCGTGAGGCTTGCAGCGTGTCACAGAAAACCAGGAGGTTCCCCGTCTCTCTGTAGTGTCAGGAGCTTAATCTCTGCGGAAGGGATCTCCATCAGGAACGCCAGGGAGTTCCTGGTGCGCCAGACCCGCTCCATGAAGAAGAGGCACACGGCGCTGCGAGCTGCCAAGCAGCAGTGGCGCCAGGACCTGCATAAATGCCGGGAGGCGGCACAGGATCCCAACAGCTCCCAGCTCCTGGACGGCATGCGCAAGAACCTGGAAGAGGTGAGGCCCCAAGCGCTGCCTGCGTTCAGGCCTGGGGCGTCGCGGCCGTGGGCTGCCCAGGGGTTGGCTCCTGGCTGTGGAGCAGCAGCCACAGGCAGCTGCGGGGCTTCGGGCCTCCTGGGAGCTGCCAGTGTGGCCCATGGCCCACGCAGTGTCACGCACCGGGGCGGCTCCAGGTCTGCTCCGCTGCGCTGCAGCCAGCCCTCGGTAGCTTGCTGGATTGCAGGAACCTGATGGACACTTGGGGCTCTTGGCATCTTAAAAAGGGAGAAGGGATTTGGCTGCGGAGAAAGGGATTCGTGCATCTCGCAAATCCCATAACGTTTTCTCATAGGAAAGGAAGTGGCAGGTATCCATCCCATCGGGAGGTGTGAGGTTATTTTTTCCCTCTCGCTTGGGAAGGGGTTCTCGAGTCCTCGTCAGCCCTGCTGACACACCAGCCAGGGCAGGGCATCCTTCCCTTCCCTGACTGCAGCAAGCGCTCGCGTTGGCAGAACCATAGGTGCTGACCCTGTTGGACGCAGAGTCTGGACGTGAAACCTTTTCCTTGGGGTGAACTTTCTTTGCGGCTCGTGCTCTGCCCTCTCCACACTCCCCTTGCTGTGCTCTCGGAGACCTGGGAGCAATTTCCCTCCTGCGGCCTGATATCCCATGCTGAGTAGAAGTGCGACAATGAAAGTCACCCTAAACACCCCCATCGAATATTTCCTGTCATTCCTGTTTAATTTTCCTCCTTGGCTGGGCTGTTTTTGCAGGAAGCAAAGCAGCTGGACAAGATGAAGTCGGCTATCTGGAAAGGGCAGGCGCTGCTGAAGAAGAAAGAGGAGAAGCTGAGCCAGCTGGAGTGCTCGCTGCTGGAGGAGGTAACGGCCAGCACCACAAGCACTGCGCTCGCCCTGCCCACAGCTCGTGGCCCCTGCCCTGGGCCGGAGCCTCTGCGGGGCCTTTGGTGCCCACGAGGGCTGTTTAGCTGGTGGCCAAAGACATGTTTGCCAGTGCAGTGGGTTTTAGAAACACATTTTCTGAGAGCAGAACAGTGTCGGTCTGAGAACGGGGTGGAGGCTAGTCACAGGTGGAGGGAGAGGGCCTGGGGCCCCTGGGGTTCACTAGGGCTGCAGCCAGCACCACAAACCGGGGCTGGGCCTCGTCATGGAGCCTCCCTCCGCGGCGGCAGCTTGTCAGGCACGGACGGGCTTGGGTGGGGGAATGCTGCCGAGTGCCCGGGCTTGGCAGAACCTTGCTAGCGCAGAGACGGAGTGCTGTGGGCGCGATAGGCTGAAGTACCCCACAGTATAAACCAAAACCTTGCAGCAGAGTGGGTAGGTGTCTCATTAACGGTCTGTGTCTTGCTCAAGATGGCAAATACTCTGCCTCCCCTCTGCTCGTGACACAGGGGCTTGCTGTTAGGCGTGTGGCTGCCGAAAGCAGCCGGGAAAAGCCGCACGGTTTGAGCCTAGAGAAAACAAGGGCAGGTCACCTCGTGTGAGCGAGGATGAGCCTGGTTTCCTGACCCAGGCCAGCCCTGGAACCCGTGCAGCTCTGCCTGGGACCACGAGGCCTTAGGCAGGTGCAAGAGCACGAGACCTCTGACAGCCAAGCCCTTGTCCTTGGTGCAAAGAAAGAACCCAGCCCATGCAAGAGTTCTGAGGCTTATTTAAAGGACAAAATACTTCAACTCCTGCCTAGAGCAGCCTGTGCATGTGGCCATTAGATTTGGCCTCTAGTGCACGCACGTGCTTCCTCCAGAGACCAAGCAGTCTCTCGACTTTCAGGCTTTGCTGTGGGGCCCAGAGGGTGGCCGTGCCTTGGCTCATCTGCGCCCCTCTGGGCACTCCGGCCCGCGCAGAGCAGCCGTCGGCTGTTCCTCTGGCTTCGGGGACAGAGCAGCAGGTTTCATTTGCGTTGTCTTCCCTCTTTTGACCAGCTTTCGGATGAAGATACGCTGAAGAGAGCTGCGTGCGGGAAGATGGTGACTTTTGACCTGAGCAGCTCTGAGGACAGCAACAGCACGTCCAGTGTACATCTGCACCAGCCCAGCTGTAAGTGCCGGCCGGGCACGGTGCGCTGTGCCAGGGGCTAACACCTCAGCCCTCCTCCTGGCCTCCCCTCTCGCCCCTCCTGTTCTCACCTGGGCTCATGGGTGTCCGAGGCAGCTCTGCTACCCAGGGCTGGCACTGCTCCCTGCATAACATTTGATTTGAAAAACTTATTGCCCGCTTGCAGTCTCAGCCGAGGGCTGGAATCTGTGAGTGAACTCGCCTTTTAAATCTCTTCCGTTGTTTTTAGAGTGGAATGTAAAGTCTGGCCTCTGCTGTTGCAGAGCTGTATTGCTCCTCTGCAGGTGCCTGGGCTTCCTTCTCCTCACATCTCTGGCAGGACATGCTGCTGCCCTTCCCTGTGCTTTTTCCTTTGCCTTCAGCTGCCTGTAACCGGAGCTGTGCAGGTGGGAAGAAGGGCTTCCCACAGACAGCCGGGAGGCAGGAGCCTTGCCTTGCTCGCAGGAAGGCTGGCAAGGCTCGAGCTGACAGAAAACCGAGAAAGCTTCCCTGTGCACCAGACGGAGAAGCTGTCCAGTCTGGGGTGGTCTCTCTGACCCGGATCAGTAAACATTCTGTGGGCACACGTGAAACTTCAGGGTTTTCTCTCGCCATAAGATGGGAGCCCGTGTATCAGCACGGTCCTGTTGGCCCAACACCGGCCAGGCCCGTGGCCTCGGGAGCTTTGCCGCTTAGGAGCACGTGAAGGGCACCAGGCATCCTGCTGCAGTGGGACTGTTGGGGTGAAGCCTGATTTTCTGGGGGGTCTCGGCGGGAGGGTGGCAGCCCTTGGAGGGGTTTTCCATTCGTGGGTGATTCTGTCAGGCTGGCGGCTGTACGGCGCAGGGCACAGCAGAACCCAGAGGGCTGGAGCTGCACCCGATGTGATCTGCTGGGCCCCTTCTTGCAGCACTGGAGGATCTTGTCCCGTGCTTTGTGCCCCAGCCGCCTCAAGGCACAAATCCCCAGTGTCAGTCTGTATCTCCTCTGGCTGCCAGGGTGGGTGTTTGCCTCTGCATCCCACTTCGCACTGATCAGTTGGGCGCGGCTCGGAGCGTAGCCCAGAGAGGATAGCGGGTCCCTGCCAGCGATGCAGCGTCTCCCCAGCCCTCCCACTGATCCCTCCTTCTCCTCTCTCCCACCAGTTGATTTGAGAACCAATTTACAGCCTGCCCCCCAGCTGGACAAGATCCAGTGCTTGACAAAATCGGTGCAGCACATCTCTAAGGAACTCAACGGGGTCCTCGACACCCTGGGCTCGCTGAACAATTGCCAGTCTCCGCTCTTCACCTCGACACCCTGCAACAGCATCCCTCTGTCTACATACACCTCCTTGGCAGGACGGGAGGCTGGGGGGTTCCTGGGGGCCCCCGCTGGGCTGTCTCTGGTGGACCAGAGGCCCTGGAGCACTGGGCTGAGCTCTGGGCGCTCTTTTGCAGCGGGACAGTCAGTAGACAGCATCCTGGCAGAGAAATATCGCAGCTATTTCCCAGGTAAGTCCTGTCCTTAATCCATCTCCTTGCTTGCCTGCGGCTTCGGATTTCCCAGCCCTGCACGTTCTAACCGCCTCGCCCTCCCAGTGCTGCTACGGCCAGATCCACTGGTGCGGCTGATAGCAAGGGTGCTAATGAGATGAGGGATGAGAACCTCATTCCAGGACACGCAGCATCTGGCTGATCTTGTCATCCTGCTTCGGGAGCTGTTCAGCCTTTAATATGCATCCCAGAGAGCAGCAGTTACTAAAGAAGGGAGCAAAAGAGCTTCACTGGAAGCCTCCCGTGAACTGCAGCGAGGGTTCACCATCTCCGTGCCCTTAACACCGCTGTGCCCTTGGCAGGTGGCCGAGCTTGTCGGGACAGTGTGTCTGTAGTGCAGGAAGGCAAATGCACCCAGACAGACAGACTTCATTTGGGAGTGCCTGTGTTTGACATCTGTTTTCCAGGGGGGTTGCCGTTGCTCAGTGGAAGTTCCAAGCCTCCGGACAACAAGCTGGGATACGTTTCTGCAGAGTAAGGGTCTTGTTCCTTGAGCTGTCATGTCACTGCGCTGCTTTTATTTCTCTGCGATGATTTACGGGTCGCGTATCGTAGAACAAGTAGATAACAAAATCGTAAGCTACCTACTAAGCAGACAGGTTGGAAACAGTTAGTTGTTCCATGCCACGTGCTCCGTGGTTCCTCACAGCCACATCATGGCTGTGCTGATAAGCCTGGCCCCAGGACCAGGCTCTGGGGTGCTGGGGAAGGGGGCGGCAGCCTGGGAGCGGGCGGCTGCTGCAGCTTTTCTCTGCGCTGGGGCTGTGCAGAGGACGCTGAGCTAAGAGGAGGTCGTGTTTCCTGAACTGTGGCTCTTGCTGCAGCAGCCCATCGCTTTCCCAGCTCTGGGTCATTTCTGCCCAGACCAGGCCTCTCTTTTTCCCACTTGTATTGTCTCTTTCTCTCTCGTGTGTGACAGGGAGAAAATACGGGTCTTCCAGCGCTCCCGGTCCCAGAGCCAAGAGTCGGACAAGATGAGTATTCAAGGCATGATTGAGACCACCAAGAAATGGCTGGAAGACTTCAAGAGGGATTCAAAAGTGTATCCTTTGCCTGGCTCTGGTCTTTAATTGCACTCCAGCCTCCTGCAGCAGGAAGGTGGAGACAGCAGGAGGCGAGCGAATTGGGAGCACTAAAGCACTGAACAGCAATTTTGAAGCCTCTATTTTAGTGTCTGATTCTGCAGCCCGAGGTGAGCGAGCCGCGGGTCCGCAGCCAGCGTGCTGCGGACATGAGTACCCGGCCTGTATGGCTCAGGCAGGCTCATTCCTTGTGTGAGAATTGCCAAAACTGAGGCAAAGAGTGCAGAATGGCGGGTGCAGAGGGAAGGCAGGGGGCTGAGCCTTGCTTTGGGTGTCAGTGGTAGAGCCCCGACCGCAGCGGGGTCCCGACAGCAGGCAGTCCCTGGAGCAGCCCGAGCTGAGCGAGCAGCGGGTCAGCAGCCAGGTTGCTGGGGACATGAGTACCCGGCCTGTGGGGCGGCCGCGTGGCCGGCCTGGGAGGCGGGGGCTCCCAGCAGAGCTCTCCCTCCGGCTCTCTTGTGAGGCCTCTGTTACCACCTGGCCGGAGCGAAGGAGCGAGGCTTCGCCGCTCTCTTAGCGGGGACGTTGCCAGGCTCGTGGTGTAACAGCATCACGGGGGGCTGTCAGCATCTCCTCTGCAGTGTGCGCTGGCATTAGCAGCAAATCCCTCGGGGCTCCGATGGCGCGTGCTGTCCTGAGCACGGTGCTCCGCTGAGTTCCCTAATCCCCCTTTAGTTCCGTTGGACTTGGGTGCAGCGGGCTAAACCGCCTGCCCTGCCCACTGCTCACGCTCAGGCAGGCTCATTCCTTGTGTAAGTCCGGCTTTTCCTTCACCCAGCTGCCAGCCCTCTCCTCTCAGGTGCGCAGAAGCTACCTGCCAGCACCCCCAGACTGCTACAGCTCGGCCTGGATGAGAACAGACGAATTAAAGTGTACCGTTACTGAAAG